AAAGGGGGGGGGGGGGGGCGGCTTTGGTGAATTGAAGAGTCGGTCTAGGCGCTAGCAGTTACTCACGCTTAGAACAATTTAGCTTAATTAATTAACCGGCGTCGTGACGGGCTCCTAATTTATGCTCACGGCACAACACGTTCAAGACAAAACCCCAACCACTGCGAATATTTGCTCTTTTCCTAAAGATTACTAAAGTACAGTTTAAAGTAAGAATATGACAAATAGAATAAATAAATCGATTGGAATGTCAGGTCGGCTGACTTCTCTCGAAAGTTCGGCGACGCGCAAGTGACGCTTGAGCCTCCAGTCTGTAGGATCGTGCAGGATGACTTTATTAGCAAGAGTGGAGAGAAGAACCGAGATAGTCTCTCAAATCTCGACGCGAGAAAGATTTTATTCGTGAAATTTCCTCCTTCATTATCCTTCTCCATCTGACTCTCTATCGCGACCTATCTATCTTTCTCTTACTTTCAGGATATTAAAATGACCCGGGCTGCCTTCATATTAAATTCTCGAACGCGATATCTTGAGATCCTTTTTTCTAAAGTTCTGCATGCTTCTCCTTCTTCATCTCGATAAAAGTACACACCGTTTTCCTGCACAGCAGAGAAGCGTTAGAAAAGACGATGGAAGTAACGCCGTAGAAATTATAGGGAATAATTTCTTAATCTGACAAGCTGGATCGGCGAAAGTTAAACACTTTCTTTCCTTGTATTATGAGATTATAACGTTCAGAGATTCGCCTTCATTGGACGGGGAGAGACAGAGAAGAAGAGAAAGAGACTGAAAGAAATGAAAAGCAAAGTATACTTTCTTCTTTACGTCCCGTAAAGATGAAGCATTGTCCTGCTCGTCTCTCTCTCTCTCTCTCTCTCTCTCTCTCTCTCTCTCTCTCTCTCTCTGTGGAACCGATTTTCATCCAATTGTAAACACAGCGTCCCGTTAACTTTATTAAAACTGAAAAGGAATTTCGAAGTAGATCGCCTGACCCCTCGTTGCCTCCACGTGTCAGTAATGTTTACAGCGTCGGGACAGTGGCATCTCAGCTCTTCTAATATTAGTTCCCTTGGCGAAGCTGGGTGGCGACGACAAGAGTGTGATTCCGCTGGGAGCCTCACGAACTCTGCCTCTTTTATTTCTTCTTCTCTTCGTTTTCTTCTAGTCCCACTTTTCCTTCCTCCCTAGTCTAATAAGTCGCAGCGTCGACGGGCAAATGTCCGAAAGGATGCCGGAAGACGTTCGTCACGGGCGAGCGCCCTTTTTATTTCCGTCCGCGACCTAGGACTCGCTTTACGTTAGGAACATTTCAACTTTGAAACTTTCCTCCGATACCTATGTACGTATAGGTAGGTGCCTTGCATGCGCACGAACCTTTAGCTAGTGAAACCTTAACTGGAAACTAGGTGGAGCTTGCCCCAAGGAAATTTACGAGTGATCAGCGTTATCGCACTCGCGGGAACTCAGATTAGCTTCTCGCTTCTCGCTTCTTGCCTCTCGGTTCTCCCTTCTTGACAACTTGCCCTGAAAATAGTTCCTCTGCGATTTTCAAGCTCAATTTTGGCTTTCCTTTATCGGCAAGCATCCGAGTCTTCGAAATATAGGACTGAAATTCAAGAAGCTTTTCGCTTTCTAAACGAGCTTTTTCAAACGAGGACAAACGCTATCGTCACTCTTCGTGAAAGCCATGTGGGTCTCTGGTACATTCGAGGTGTTTTACGTATTTGCGCACCTATTCCTGCATACATACATATGTATAGGGATGTATGTGCTGTGATGTGAAAGGAGAGGATTCGTGAGAATAGAGGAATAAAGAGGGGCAGGGAGAAAGATAGGAGATGCAAAGCAGTGAAAGAACGCGCTACTGGAATAAAGTGTCGAGAAATTACTTTCGATTCGAGTTCCTCTCCTTGTGGCTTTCGACCCCCCCCCCCCCCCCCC